ACATCATCAGTGATGACATCACTCTTTGATGCATCAAAGGAATCTCTCTCTTGAGTGTAGCACACAGACTGTTTTTTTTCCAGACCTGTTCCTTATAAGTTAACTTGTAGGTTCCTGTAACTTTTAAGTTATGAATCTTCTACAGGAGCATTAAAATTATTTGAAGGCACAGAATCAGCCCAGTAGGTTCACATTCTCAGGTGAGAGACTCACCTGGTGTAAAGTTAATTTTTTGGTACTGGAATTACACCGAGGATAAATTACTTTAATCAAAGCATGTCATGAATATATGTGCATATATTCCATCTTAAGTACATAGCATAATAGTTTTTTTGTTGCTTTTGCCACCACTAGATGATGTAACATAAACAGCACTATTCGGAGATGCAATGAGTTTATAGCAGTGGCCCTGATGCCAACATCTACAGAAAACATATTAAAGATTGTGGCATGTGTTACACACATCAGACCTTCACTAATCCTCCTGGAATCTGTTCTGGTTAAATAGTTAACATTTCCAAACAGCACCATACCTGATCTTTCTTCAAAATAATCATTGTGTCCACGTTATTTTCTTTGTCATTCTAGACAATATACTTATTCCTGTAATAAACAGTTTTAGATCCTTTAATACAAAGGTACAGCTTATGTCACACACTTAAGTCTCAGAATAACCCCCATCTGCTACTGCATAAAAAATATACAATATATCTGGGGGGGTTTTTCTGTACACCAACATTTTCACAGAAAGACACAATATAGATTCAACTCATGTAATGAAAAAACAATCTAAACATGTCAATATTACTTTCCAACAACTTCCAGAACCGTTTTATTTCAAAGCTGATAACTGACAGTGTATTAAGCAATCTGTACATATAAACAGATCGCAATTCAGCTCCTGTACAGTAGGTTTATACCTCAGGTAACTAGAACCACCGTCGCTCTTTTTCCTCCCAACGCCCGTTAGTTCAGTTGCTATGACAACGGTAAATAAAACACAAAAGGAAAAGGACTAGTGTGATCCACCATGTCTGTAGTTCTAAAGAGCAGCTCAGAGGGGCAGACAAAAGTCTACGTCTATTTTGAGTGGCACTGTTTTGTGTCAGACTTTTGTTTTGAGTTGAATTTGGCTCGTTTTATGTTAATTATGTTGCCACAGTTACTCGAAATGCCTTCAAAAGCAATCGCTCCCCTCACGGAATCAAGCCGCACGTTTTGATGTATATGTTGTGAAGGGGGCACGCAGTGGTACGAGCCACATTAACGGTACCAGGAAGAGGCAGTTATTTTGAGGTGTAGAACAATAGGTGCCTGCCTATGCATTGCTATGGCAGGCCCCAATAAACAGACATTCAATTGGGTGCCATGGCAGGCACCTATTCTGAAAAATTATAAATTCAAGATTTCCCCTAGAAAACCTGCCAAGCCTGGTGGTTGGGCACTAGGCTCATCCATCCATTGGCCTGTCGTGTTTTGGGGTTAAAAATGTTTAAAGCTGACAGGAAATTTGAAAATATCACTTGATAGAAATTTAACCAGGGTCTGCAAAAGTGTGCACATCACTACAGACCCAACGTTCTAGCTATAGATTGTACAGTTTGACTTGCCCAGGAGCACATGTGCACTACTTAAATGCTGATATGGTTCATTACCAAAATGCAGCAGCTGAAGCTTTTGCCAGGTTCATTACCATAGCATTTTGGCTGACCAGGTTCAATTCTATAGTACAATTGCTAAACCTGATGTCTGAGACTGACGACTATAAGCTTCGCACATGTGGTTCTTACTCACGGTCTGAAATAAAAAATAAAAAAATAAAGTCAGTGGGTAATTGTTTATGTCTCGAAATTTTTCAACCTTCATACTAAGGATTTTAATTCACACTCAGAAATTCAGAGAAATAATAATTTTATGGAAGCAAAATATGAATAGTCACAGGAAATGTGTATTCTTCCCACAATGCATTGGGAGACTACTCACTGCCTCTCTCTCTAACCCTAACCCTAACATTAACACAGCCTGCTGTAGTTTTCGGGTTGTAAGCACCACGGTAGACGTTTTAGACTCGTAGAACCGACAGACAGACGTTGCTATCTATCTGTGCTGCTGTAGGAAAATCTGACGAGGTAGCATAGATATTCAGAACACCGGTTCAAACCTCGTCTGGGTCAGACGGGAAATATTAATCCCCGGAACCTGGAAGAATCTGATCCTGCTCCACTTTATCCAGGCTTAGCACTTGACATGCCGGCCCTCACTGTGTGTGTGTGTGTGTGTGTGTGTGTGTGTGTGTGTTCTCTCTCACACTCTTATGGGGGAGATCCAGGACAGTGTGTGTTTGCAGATGGCGTCACAGGAACAGCTGCTCAGACAGCTGAGCTCCACTCATGTGGTGTCCCTATGACAGAACATCACAAAGATTACATTGTCTACAAACTGAAGAACAAAAGGGGATTTCTATTAAGCTGCAATGTGATGTATGTATGTGATTTGTATGTTAAGCAACTCTCCTGGCACACTCAAATTATACCATATGATGATTATGTTCTTTAACACGATTCTTTTCAAGGTGCATTTAACTAACACATTACATTACGATTGAAAAGTTCATTTATTTCAGTAATTTAATTGAAAAAGTGATTTCAGGATTATGGTTAACAAGATAACGAACGTCAGCAAATATAACCAACAATAACAAAAATGATATTTAATGCAGAAAGGTTCTGGCCTACACAATCATGGGGAAGACAGCTGACTCGGTAGCTGTGCTGAGTCATTTGCAGCCGCTGCATAAAGAGCAAACCTCAAAACGCCATGGCTAATCAAGCCGGCTGTTCACAACGTGCTGTTTCAGAGCTAGGAAACAGAAAGTTCAGTGAAAGGAAAAAGTGCCATAGAAAAGTGGTGGATACCGGCCTAGACAGGACTTTATAGCAAAGTGGAGAGTGCCAATATTCTACAGTACATGGACATTTTTATATTGAAAATATTTTTGAGAGATCTTTTGCAATCCTCTAATTTGCTGAAAAACTTAAGATCTGGCTTTCGTTATCCGTCAGCCATAATCACCAACAATAATAGAAATACGTTTTAATGAATCTTAAGCTCAACTTTTTTGATTAAACTTATTTTTTGTGGGGCAAGAATGAGAGAAGTGAACACATGGGAGAAGAAGAAAAATAAGTAACGATAAATGAGTAACTGCATATTTGTATTTTTCTTGATTTTGTCTGCTAAAAAGTTTCTTAGTAAAGTATTAATCTCTCACAAAGATGCATATTAATAACATGTATATGTTGACAGTTTTCATCTTTTCTCCAACCATAAGCTGTTGTGTGAAATTGCAAAAGCTTCTTATGCTTACTGTATTCAAGATTTGCATGTTTTACATCACTTTTCAAACTGGTTTACTGAAATAAACTTTGAGAAGCACTTGCACGTGCACTTTTGTCATCCATGTGCATATGATATGCTGCTGTGCTACTTTTCTCCTGCGCAACGAAACTCATAAGAGGCTTAGCCCACCGAAACCCCAAAATTAAAATGAAATAGTTGGCTGTACAAACACAAAACAGTAAGTGAGGCTTGGTTATGTCTCTCTGTACAGTTTTATTTACATGATACTATTCTGTTGTAATGCTGGATAGCAAGATTATATGCAATACATAAATATCAACACAGTTTGTTGTTTTTTTTTCACTTTTTTGTACAAATTTGCATATAACTAAGAATCAAAAAAAAGAAAGAAAAGAAAAAAACTCTTATTTCAATGAAAAGCATCCTCACTGGGGGGAAAGTAACAAGTCACAAACATACATGTGTCAGGCAGCCATGAAAACACACTTTTTCTCTTTTTTTTTGCACAGGGAAGTGCACATGCACACACGCGCTCTATAGATCGATAAACGCTTGACAGATGAGAAGTTACATCTAATCTCAGTTTCTATTATTTTTCATTAATCTAGCTCTGGCATGCTCCTGTACTTCTGTAAACATGTGCTGATAAACCGGTTAGCTCCACAGCTAAAAAGGATGGGAGGAAGGGGCGGGGGGGGGGACACCCACGTAATAACACACACACTGTGCTCACATGACTGTTGTGTTAGCGCCAAAAAAAAAATTTAAAAAAGGATAAAGTCCACAAATGCACCAAGTCCATGCGCCAACATCAGTACAATGGAAGAGGGAAAAAAATAAGACAAAATAAAAGTCAGATAATTGTCTCTGGAAATAAAACGCCCCACAAAAACCCTAAGGCGAGTGATATTTCTGAAACACTAAAGCAGATGAAGAGCAACTCATGCATTTTATTCCATTCATTTATGCCCCTTGCAACATTTGAAATTCGTGCACCAGGCTCATCAGGAACGGGTGCCGGCGTCCGCCCTCTCAGGCCCATCATTAGTGCCCCGGCACCAGGCGATCGATTACAATCAGATCTGGGACCATTTTTCCAAGTCTTGTTTGTTGGGTTTGTTGTTCAGATTTGGTTGAAGAGTGGGGGATCTCTGTGTGTATTATGAAAAACCAGACTTTGAAAGTGGACACAGGTGAGCTGATTGGAGGTTCAATCAGGGATTCGGATAGAAGGGAAAACGACACAGCAGCTCTGAGGTAGGTAAAGCTAGGAGAAATACGGTAAAAAAAATAACAAAAAATCCTCCTGTTCAAGAGTGACGCTGAAGTTTTTTTCTTTAGGATTAAAGGACAAGGTGGGCAGATTTCTTTCTTTGCAATCTGAATGCTTTGAGGGTTTAGTAAAAATGGCTGTTTGGCACAAAATGACAACCTGGTACTGGTGAGGGGAGCACAGCATATCCTGGACATCGTGCCTGGTCTGCTCTTAATAAAACACATAAAAAAATAAAACAAAAAAGGAAAAGGACTCAACGGCGGCAAATTCACACCACAGAAAATGAGATTAAAACAATCTAATGAATTAATGAAAATGAAAAAAAGTGATCATTCATGCATCTCCCTCAGGTAGGGTCTTTCGATTTTTTTTTTTTCATTTTTGCGAATCAAGTCCTTTTGATTTAGCCACTTGCACTCATGTCAAAGGTTTTCACTCATTCTCCAGTCTTTCGCAAGGTGTTTCCTCATTTCCAACACCGTTTCCCCTCCCCTCCATTTATATTCTCTGGATCTTGTCAGCCACAACCACGGGATTCTCTTTGCGGATCTTGGCGGCAGCCTCGGCCTTGTAATCGTAGGGACAGTTGTGCTTGTCGGAGTATCGATGGATGCCACAGAACAGGTTACCACAGCGACAGTCAAACCCTGGAAGGACAAAAGGGCAAAATTTAGAACAACCACATTAAAACAAATGGAAGTGGGAAAAACTCAATAAGTGGCTTGTGGAAAATAAAGCTACAGTCTTGGTATAGTCTGATAACAGCTTACCTGTAAGGCCCACCCTTTTGCGGCACATGAAGCATCGGTTTTTCTTAGGTTTGGGGGTTTCGCCCTTGCCTTCTTCAGTGCTGGGAGAAGCTACAGGAGAAGGACTAGAAGCAGCAGGCTGGCTTACAACTACACACAAAGAAAAAAAGATGCATTTATGCCACAGAACAGGGTACAGCAAAGTATTAAAACAGCAAAAATATTAAAACAGCAACTACTGTGTAGATTTATCCCAAATAATTTCCTTTGCTCCAGGCATGAACTAGTTTTGGTTTTAAAAGGTTGCTAAAATTTCCAATCATACAATTTTTACAGTTTAAAGTCATTTTAATCTGGCAAAAAAAAAATTCAGGTGAGTGACCTGAATTTAGTGTGATAACTAATCAGCTGGTGCTTGAGTTACTCTAAGAAAGAGGGAAATACTGCAGAAAGCTTTCGAAAACAATTATTCAATTTTGCCAGTGCTCACTCTATATTTTTAATAGCTATAATAAAATAATTAAATGTTTATATATAATGTTATTACACGTGTAGCACTATTTTGTGTTACAGAGCAGGATTAGGAATAATTTTTGCTTTTAAAAAAAAATTTATGCTAGACGGACAATAATAACTAAAGCAACATTTTCACTCAATGTCACATGAATGTGTCCTTTTCCTTCCAGTCCATGTCTGCTTTGTGTGCCTCTCATCTACGCACTGGCATTGTTGGAAAACGGCACTCTACGCTGAGCAGGACTCCAGCAGGCAGGATCTAATCTGACTCTCTCCTCCAGTTTAGAGGTATTTTTAAACAGGCTTATTTTTAGACGCCATCTCCTTCTCAGAAGCTTTAAGTAAAACCAGCTGTTAAATTTAAGCTGCGCTGCAAAGCATCAGAAATAAACCGAGGCCTGCTGTTGGACCTTCCCAAGCAGGGTCAAGGTGCATGTGTCTGAAAAACAAATGGATTTTATGTGTGACATGTCTCACCAGGCTCTAGGAGTTCAGGCTTCTCCTCTCTGGAGATGCTCATCTCTGTCATCTGTTGGGTTACAGGAAGAGATCCTTGAACAGTCCTGCTGATATAAAAAAAATAAATAAAAAAATCGAACGAGAGTCCCGTTAGTCAGGAAGACGTTTAAAGATTTGAATGCGAGGAGAGCTTATTGATCGAGCCAAGCCATCTGCAGCCATTACTGACCTAGACATGTCTGGTGAGGAGGCAGGGGAGGCGTCAACCTTAGCTAGACTGGCTTCTAGTCTCTGGATGGCTGAGGCCTCTGAGGTAGGACTAGCAGTGGAGCCTTAATGACGAAACACAGAAGGAGATTTTTAAAAATATATACATATGTATAAATATGTGCACATTTTCCCTAAGAGGCAGTAAAATGAATAGACTGAATCAAAAAGACAAAAATCAGCTGCTTTGGGATGGCTATATGCCTGTCCTATTCTAATTATACATCTTTAGGAAAGAAAATGCAGACAGGTACATGAAAAATAAGAATAATTATAATAACTTTAACAAAGACTTGCATGTTTTGTTTGATGCCTTACCCATTGGGCTCATGGGGCTCATGCGATCGCTGCTCTGCTGTCGCGTCAGGTGTTCCTTGTAGCATACAGAGCACATGCCATTGGTTCTTGGGTTGCCATAGAAACCACAGCCTGTGGCACAAAGCATGGGGACTGGGCTCTGGTTCGTCTCTTGAGCCATTGCTAACAGAGGAAGAGAAAGAAGCAGAGTGTGAATGATTATCGTTGTTGCGACAGGGAGAAAGCGAGAGAGAGAAGCAGAAAGAACTGAAAGCAAAAAAAAGTGTGTTTTTTTTTCTGCTGATCTAGTTTATAGAGTCTGACTGACAGCAGGTTCAGACCATGAGAAGTCAAAAAACACATCTCTCTGTTTCGACTTGCCCTTTAGCCCGAATACAGTAATGAGCGCTTCTCCACAGGAAGTTCAGGCAACAAACAGCGCTCACTCTGTTCTGCTCACCGCTTTTCCTCAACACGGCTCTCCGATCACAGCGTTCTTTGTTTTGTCCCTTCGTTTTGTCCACTCCTTATCAAAACCTTTTCTGATGAACTGGCCCTCCTTCCTCATAGGCGGCCACAGTGACTCCCTTTCATGGCCTTATCGGGTCAATCCCGGTACTTCCCATAATAATAAAAACGCCAAGCTGACTCACAAGCTGCTGCTGCTCCACAGCACGACAAACATTTTCTCGTCAGGTGCAATAACTTTCTGTTGGCCGAAAGAGAAGCAACGAAGTAGGTCAGCAGTTTAAGGAGGCGTCCTGTGTTTCAAGGTGTTGGGAAAACTTCCTGTGCCACAGAAAAACAAGCCTCTGTGTGTGTGTGTGTGTGTGTCAGCTTGAGCAATTTGGCAGAACACGTAGTGCTGTGACGTTATGGTTTGCCTTTGATGCAGCGCGACGCCACAGGAAGTTGTGTAATAAGACACACTGACTTTTACGCAACACGTCAAAAACACCTCTGACGAACAGACGGGAAGACCCAGATCTGCCCATCCTTATAGAGAGGCTGATTTAGCATATCATCTGAGCCTCATATTTCCCTAGTAAACAACCTTTGGCCCGGCTCTGCTGTGACACGACAGGCACTTTGATTGGCTAAAAAGTTTGTTTATATTCAGCTCACAGACAAACAGGAGAAAAATCAAGTCAGTTTTCAAGAAGAGGCCGGCAGGTGTTTCTTTTTTTTTTTTTTTTAGGATGTCATGTATATGAACGCTTGGGGGCTTCTTATCAGCAAGTGCCACAAAGTACTCTGCGAACTCCCCACCCCCCAGCCCCCCGCACCCTCCTTCTATGCCCCTTTACACCAACAAGCTAGTCCTGTGTCAATAAAGCTCTTCTCGGAAAAGCTTACAAAAGACCGCTGCCATTCGAGTCACATGTTCAACTGCAAACTCTTGAAAAACACCAGACAGAGTGAGTGAGCTAGAAACTTCCGGAAGATCAAAACCTCCCACATTGATAATAAATATAGATGTTAATAAGTGGTTCAATAACATAATTATCATGTCACTGGAAAACTATTTTGTAGTTGCATAAAGAGCATCTTAATTCGGTATTGTCGTGCCCACTTATTTTATCTTCAATAATGAGCTTGTCACTCCTCAGTTTGTTTTTCTTTCAAATTTTATTTTCCTGACATTTACCTAAATATAAAGAACATATTCACAAATACATTTTTAATCTGGCATGCCTGGTCTTCCCTAGTTTGGCAACTAAAGCTCAAAAAGAACTAGTTCATAGTTTTGGCTCATCCGTTACCTTTTGGTTCACGTACCACACAAACCACAGACCTGTCTACATATACCTACAGTGTTAAGCAATCATGCTGTCTATGTGAATAGAATGATTATGGGATAAGAATTAGTCATTTTTTGATTACAACAAACTAACAAAATGAACTATTTTCCACAGCTGGGTAATGATAAAAAGAAATGCTGCATTTCAAGTTATGGCTGAGTGTTATTTTTGTGTTTTTTGTAGCTGCACAGCTCAATGTGACTTTTTGATAATAGGCCATATTTATTTTTACTGAATTATTTTTGTTATACTCTCTCGCTGCAGGTGAATACAGATTCAGAGTAGGGATGCCAGTCCGGTATTTCCTGGACTGGCAAGTCAAATGCTGACAAATGAGATTTTTCTTCTCCTCATATTCAACAAATGCATTAAAACTAATAACTCCCACTGATTTATCTCTATATACAATCAAGTAACACCCTGTCCCTGAATGCAGAGATGAAATAATATCGTATTTCATTTTTTTATCTGAAATATAGCCAATGTCTGGAACAAAAAAGCTGCACTAAGTATTTTTGGTATATATGTTGTGTTTCTTAATAAATAAATAAAAGGAATTGTCCAAGATTGGAATGGGCGTCAAAGAAATTGGCATCATCACAATCCCAACAAATATCACAAAAGATTGTTAAAACTTTATGCCCATATAAGCCCATCCCAACATGGAAATCTAACATTAGGGGGGGGGAAACCTGAGTGGCGATAATTATGTTAATTTCTCCATTTGATTCAAAACTACCATCTCTATCAAAGAACACGAAGCATAAAACTAAAAATTAAAATGACTTGCCAGTAAAATTCAGACCATTTCTAATTTATAGCCAAAAAGTTGCGATAAGTTTTTGATCTTCACTTTAGTCACTATCCAAATAAACAAAATGTATTGTGATAGAAATGTCATGTCTGTATTGCCTTTCAGAAAACTGTCATTTGACACACCAAAGGCTTTCGATCTGACAGGATTGTGACCTTAATGAGGTGCATTATGCATTAGAAAACCCACCTGACAGGGCAAGGCAGGGAGTTTCCAGCAGAGACACAACCACTCACCACAGTTTCCTTTCACAAAAATGTTAAACTCATGCAGCAGGAACTTATGAGAAAGCCTCAGTCTTGTTTTCTATAAGAGATCAGTTTAAACCAACATGTATGGGGTTAACTTTAGCAAACAAAGGGAAAGCTCATATTTCAGGCCCTGCTGGAGGGGTTGGAAAGTCCTGAGTCACAGTGAAGGACAGGACAGAAACTGGGGAATATTCTCCATAAAAACTAAATAAAACTGAAAACAACCACCAGAAGTTGATAGAAAAAGCCCTAATGGTGGTATTTTGTGAAACATTCAATAGCCAAGCCAGAATGATACGTCCTTCCTTTGTTTCTTTCCTCCTTTGTCTGCAGCCTCCTTGCTTCCTGTTTTTAAATCGCACTGTGTCTCGCATTTATCGCAACACTTGCACCTAATACGGATTTCCAAAGTGTCCCTAACAAAGCAACGTTAAAAATCCTCATTATATAATCACTATTAGTCGCTTAGAAGCGACTTTTTTAAAGCCCTCACGTCGAGCGAAACCTCGTCTCACCCGACAGCTCCAACTACAAGCCGACACTCTTGTTTTATTTAATTACGTTACCCTCGAAGCAAAGGCTGTGGGTTTCGTTTGAGTGCAGCCTCTCTCGCTCCACTTGTCTATTCGGCTTATAAATTTTCTATTTGTAGACAGGAATTAACAGGCTTTTGGTTCACCCCATCCCCCAGCTCGGGACAAGCTGAAAAACAGAGACTGTAAGCAGCACTACCTCAGCTCCCTCCCTTGTTTTTCTTTTACAGACAAAGTCACGTTCGAGGACTTGTGATATTTCAAGTCAGGTGGAGGAGGACATGGTGAAGGTGGAGGTGGCAAAGACAAAAGAGGGTTGATCACCGCAAAGCGCATACCGTGTGACCTTTTAATCCATCAGTAAAGGTCGCCATTATCTCATCAAAAGCACACATCTCTAGTATGTTACCTAAATACAAATCGCTTTCTCTGTAACGCCAATCCACTTCAAGAAAAAAAAGAAGCAATAATCCAAGATGATCACCTGCTGAAAATCGATGGGTTTCTCGCGAGAGGACAGGAAAAGCGGTTGTCTTTGTCAGAAAAGGTCGAAGTTATTATGTGGAGTTCCCTTTTTATCTTTTCCGTCTCCGTAGCAGCGTTTCTGTGTCGTCGTCCTCTCAGACAGGCGGATTTAGACGGGTTTTAAGCGTCCCTTCCTCGGCCTCCTGCCTTGTCCTCCTCTCTCCGTCTCCCGTCCCCCTTCTTCTTCTGCTGGATGGATGTTTGTTTCCTTCTTTAGCAAGAGGAGTGGTGGATGATGATGTCACGGGTAAGAACAACGTGTCACCATTGGCTGCCCGGTGGAGCCCCGGAGCTCTCTGAGCAGCTCTGTCTGGCTCTGGTTATTGCATGTCTGTTCGTCATCCACCCACAAGGACACGAGTCTATTTACTGAGTAATACACCTAAATGGACGAATGAATGAATAATGACGTGTGCTATACATATTTTTAAAAAGCACAATAAACAGGAAACGCCTTTTTTTTTATGTGTGTGTGTTTATGGTTCTGTTTCTATCACCGTGGCCTGTATGTTCAGTTCTAACACAAAGCATCAGCAGCACCAGAGGAGATTTACAACGTTGGAAATTAGATATGATGCTGGTTTGTTATGGTAAAGTTGTGGGTCAGTGACTGCACTGGTGCAGACAGTGCAGTCAGGAGGTAGCAACAAACAAGTCATGAGGGCGGAAAGTGCGAAAAAAAATTATTTTGATCCAATTTAGTTTCAAGGCTCTTCAGTAGACAAGCTGGTCAAGTTTATGTTAAGTTATCAAGAAATATATAATCAAATCAGTCAAATTTGGACCAGTAAAATCCAATCATATAGACAGATTCGTATTCAGTTAAATTTACTTTAAGTACGCATTTTTTTTCTATACCACATTTGCCTTCATATCTGCCTTGATTCTACATTATGTGCAGATTCAACAAGGTTTCAGAAACATTTCTCAGAAATTTTGGTTCATATTGTCATGTTAGCAGTCACAGTTCCAGTGGATTTGTTGGCTGCACATCCACACTCCAGTTGTTCACCAGAGTACAGTAAACTCTTGATCAGGTATAAGAAACAAGAGTGAGATGATTTGAGCTTTGTGATATGGTGTAATTAATTAGCCACCTGGAAGTAACCAGCACAAGATGAGAGTACCATGTGGTCATAAAGGGATTGACATGGTGCAGCATACTCAGGTAGGCTGTGGTGTTTCAGCTCAATTGATAGTAAGGTCCCTAATGTGTACCTTAAAAACTTTGCCTCAACCACTAATGCAAGGTAGGATGGAGCCATGCCTTTATCTACATCAAATTCTGCCACCTGAATGTCGCAACCTAAATCCAGGTCAAATTTTTTTCCAGTTTTTCTTTCAAAAACTGTATTAACAACTTATTACGGTCCAATTTTGGTCACAGTCTGTAAATTTTAGCCACAGTTTCCTTTTCTTAGTTGACATTTGAGTACCTGGCGAGGTCTTCCAACTGCGGGGCTGTGGATATTCTCCTTTTCTGATCACTTTCTGTAAACCTGAAATGTTGGTTGAGTTTCTGAAATACTAAGACCAGCCTGTATGGCAACCAAAAACCACAACATGATCAAAGTCACATTAACCCTCTTTTCTTCCCCATTGTGCTATGCTTGCTTCAGACTGCTGTAAGCTGGCTTCACCAGATCTAGATGCTTAAAAGAACTGAGTAGCTGCCAATGTTGACTGATTTTATGTTTTAATTTGAGTGTCTAATAATGGATCCAGTTAGTGCTGTCCAGTTCAACCAAATTAAATTTGGTTGATTACATAAGTAGAATGGTGTTTATCTTGGAAGTCCAGCTGATTTAATCAAGTCATTAGCATCTTTCACAAAACACTAGAAGCTAGGATTTTAACACCTTTTCTCTATCTGTGTTTGCTCTCTGTGAGGACCAAGATGGCGTGAGATTGCCCGAGTTAACCTGCCACTGTTGCACCTCTGATCTGCTAGATGACGTAATCACAGCCCCATATTGGTTATGTAAGGATTTGCCAGCATTGTGACTTGAGGGTGTAGAGATGACAGTCTGTGTGAGTAGCTGGCCAGGAAATTCAAGGCAAAAATACACCAAGACCGCAGGGGAGCGGTGCATCAAAGACATCATTCCTTTCCATTAACACACATTGGACGAGCTGTGCTAAGATCTGGTGAGACAGAATAGATCACTGGGCTTTAGCCGAGGGCAGGGTTCCTTAATGGCGCTGGCATTTGAGATGCAACAAAATTGTCATGGTTTATATGCCACCAATGTGCTTATTGCTTTAAAAGTGGACATGTTTGCCACTTGTTTTATGAATAAACCTCTATGTCAGGGGTGTTCAAAGGATGGTCCACAGTCCACTTGCAGCCCCTTGCAGTCGCGGGCTTTAATTGCAGCCTGCGACTGCAATTAAAGAATGGTACAGATTTCCCAAGAAAGAGTGATCTCTTATGGCTGAAAATAGACAAAAAATGTTTTCTGTTTTTTGTTTTCAATCCAGCCCAAGAAAAGTTTGTGAACTTTGTGCATTTCTTCTGTTGAAAATGGATACCGGGAGAAATGGTTCCTTTGAAGTTAAGCACAGAATCTTTGGGTTTACCTTTTATGGAGAGTAAACATAAAGTTATTGACAGGCAATATTTCTTTCTCTATATAAAGATGGTTAAACACAAAAACACCAAGCAAGGCCTAGCTTACATGGAAGGCAAAAACAGAGGATACTCATGGTTGATTGTGGCAACTATTGTAAGAGATTTAGGGTACAGTTGCTTTGAGTTGCAGCCTTTTGGACAAATATTCTGAGATCACTGAAAGACCCAAAACCAAATTAAAGTATAATAAAAAAAATTCTGAAATAAACTGCCAGAGCAAAGAGGCTAATCCCATAATGATTTACTCATGTTTCTTTGTACCTTTGTAGAAGTTCAACTTGTTAAAAACAAGTACAAAGTGACTTGTAACCTCAGACAAGTCAAACATTACTCAACTAGACCTCAATCAAACTGGAATGTAATAATAACATAAAAAACATTAACTCAATATCAGAATAACAAATACACATTGATATTTAATTACTTTGTTTACTTTGATTTCTAAAGTACACTGGTTGATATTTGGGAACTGTTAATCTAAACCTCATTCTGTTACTCAACACCCCCGCTAAACCAGTGTGAGTCGTTAATTGAAATCAGTCATCAAACTGAGTGTAAAAAGTCTGTAGCAAGATACAAAATGACCCAGATTGCTATATTACAAAATGCTGAAGGGATGAAATAAACAACACACAAATGAAACCCAACAATACTTGAACCCAGTTATCACCATAAAGCATTAGGTCTTAAACTGCTCATACGGGATCTAATCAACGCAAGTACAGGCCAAACTCTTCAGTGTGAAAACATTGCTTTGGTCTGTTGCATAAGCTCACACAGAAAGACAAGCAATGCTTGACTAGACCCACTTGTGTGGATGTTGGCAGTGTAAACAAGTATTGTGGAAGGTAACAAGATAAGTCCTGAGTAGAACTAAGAGAGCAGATTTGTTTAAACTGGTTGTGCAATAGCACTGTGTTCGTAAACAGGGGTGTAGCTCCTGGCTAAGGGCACAATGGAAAAGTTGTCAGTAATGTTTTGGGAGTTTTTGAAATGTGTTATGAATTCCTATATAAATATTTGAAACGAGTGTATACAGTCACGTGAAAAGATTAGGATGCCTTATGGATGTCTTTGTATGTTTTAATGTTTTTCAATAAATGGATGTACAATACCCTGTTATGGACTAGTGGTGTGTCCAGGCAGTAGCCCGCCTCCTGGCCACTGACTGCTGGAGACTGCTTACTCTATTAAAATCTCATACCTTTTGTGTGGTGTGCAACTGAACCTTGAATCAATTGCATGAACAGAATGGTAAAATTGAAAGACCTTAGCCCTTCAGAAAGATAACTATTCAATCCTTGTGAACCACCTAAGGGATTTAAGCTTTAACATGCTCAGTTCTGGCTGTGGAAATCATTTTACACTGAAAGCCGGCTGCAAGATGCTAAAAAAAAAAGTCAAAGTGTCATTATGAGACTGACAGCAAGGTTTTATCATGGTTGATGTGAAAGTATGTACCTCTAAAATCAAAAATGTCTTATTTATAAATTTAATTTGCTTTGGAGGTCTAAGGTGGAAAACTTTCCTCTACAAGAAACATTTAAAGGCTTGATTCAAGTTGATCAGAGAGAATAGAAACAAAGACCAGGATTTGGACAGATGACTCTCTGGTGCAATTATTTACTAGTGGAACAGAGAACATGTTTGGCGTAAACCAGTTATAACATCTCAGGAGAACTACCTTACACCAACTCTGAAGCACAGGCCTGGAAGTCTCTTTGTTTGGAATCCTTTGTTGCGGCAGGACCGGACCAGCTCACCATCAGAAAATCCACAATGAATTTTACTGTTTGCCAGATGTTGATTAATGAAATTGTGAGGCCACCTCTGAAATTAGAGCTGAAGCAGAACTGGACTCTTCAACATGAGAATGACCCAAAGCCTATCAGTGAATACAGGGATTAGAGAATTAAAAAAAATGTAAAATCCTGGACTGAGACAAACCCCAGATCTTGAGATCATTTAGATATTTTGGGGTAACTTGTAAAAAAAAAAAAAAAAGTATATAATTACACCACAGAGTTGGGGTTCTCATATTACTACTAGATTGTTCGTCACAACATAAGTTTCAAGGGTTGTTTTTTTGTTTTTGTTTTTTTAAAGGGAAGATTCACCCTGGTATCTGTTTTTAACATCTTCTGGCACAAGAACATGTTATCCACTGTGCTGTTGTGAAATATAAAAACATGTACTTACCAATTACGTATAGTGTGTTATTGGCGCTGTATCACTTGCCCTAAGGTTTAACGAGTCCAAACACATTCCCCCCCGCCCCCCAAACTTTTTGTGTATTACGTCAGACACCACATGTCTCTAAGCACTACAAGCAGTGCTGTGGAGGGAGCAAACACTCGTGGTGTTGGTGTTCTGAGGGTACATGCTGTTAGCTATTAGTGGTTGAATTCTTGGAAGCAGTGAAGGGCAGAAGAGTCGCGCAGACACGGCACGGTTTGCCCAGTCAGTTTCAAGCAGAAACTGGAAGTGGAGCGAAGTGAAA